TTTTTGCTGTTTGATAGCCAAGATCTGTTTATTTCAAAATCACTGCAATCAGAATCATAGCAATGACAAAAATAAATGTAATAATAAGTCACCCTGGAAGATGCCTCTTCTATATTGTTATTAATGTGGTTTTTTTCCATAGCATATGGTGGAAGATATATATATATACATAAGGTAAATAGTTATTCAAGTGTATGATTTTATAAACGAAAACAGTCAGTTTTGTATAGTGGTTAAAGAAACCAGGCTAGAAAGCAGAAGACTGGGAGTTCTAGTTCTGCCTCAGGCTAGTTAGATGACCTTGGTCAGTCACTCTCTATCAGCCCTAGGAAGGAGGCAATTGCTATTAGTATATTGTCAAGAAAATTGAAGGGATCAGTCCCGGTAGTTGCTAGGAGTCAACAATAAGTCAAAGATTCTCCCTCTCCCTCCCCCCCCTCTCTCTCTCTCCCTCTCCCTCCCTCCCTCTCTTTCTTATACAAAATTATATGAAAGGAAAACAAATTTATACCTTGAAAAAATATAAAGTAGCTTAACCAGTAAATCATGATGGCTTTCAAATTAATTCACATATTCTGTATGCTATCATGTCTCTCCTGAGATAGGTATAGGCATTCATGAAAAGAATTTGGATTCAATTCTTTGCATCTACTTTTTAAAAGTTCAGAATATTTTATGAATTTGTTTGCCACCAATTGATGAGTGGGAATGTTGGCTTGATTTGTCTGGATAGAAAACTGCTTCCAAAATTGTTATTTAAACTATTTAAAATATAAGAAATAAGTATTGCAAAGGATCGGAACCTATAGAACAGATACCACCCCAAAGAAGTCCTGCCATTGGATGAAATAAAATATGAGGAAAAGAAATTAAAAATAGGAGACAATTTTAACCAAGTAAATTTACTCAAAATTCATTGAGTGGACCTGTAAATGCCTAACAACTCATGCTATTCCATTTAATTAAAAAATCTGTGGATTAAAAAAACATCAATAAGCACTATATATTAAAATAAATTATTCTGCTTAGCATTTATACTGCGGTGTAATAGCTTTAAATGTATCAACTGCAATAGTATTCCTTACTTGTACTTAAATATATCCTTAATACTACAATCCAGATTCCTGGGTTCTGTTTTGTTATCTATTCACCAGGAATAATTGAGAGACATCAGATACGCTTGTCTGCTAAATATTTCATGCTGTTTATTTTCCTGTTGTGTTTTCTTTCAAGATAGAGTACACATATGCCATTCTGTCTAAACCTGTGGGGGGAACACCCAAACATTAAATAGATTTCTTGGCAAAACACCATAAAAAGATAAAGATAGAATATACTGCATGTGTTCCTTCTTTGAATGGCAATTACATAAGGTATGAGATCAAATCAGAGAAAACTGTAGGAAGAAGTGATATCACAACAGGCATATTTCACAAGAATTTAAATAGAAGGAAAGTTAAGAGTGTCACCATTTTCTAAATCATTTTCAAAACACTCTCTAATACAAACTAAATAATCAGTTTCCTTAAATCTGGATAAATACAGCTGATTCAAGCTCATATTCTACTGTGGTGCCTATAATATAAAATATTTATACTGAATCATTTGTAGTTATTTAAATGTATTGGGACCATTAAAATCAATGCTAGAAAAGTGCCCTATCTTTTGTACTTAGTGAGTGGAAGTATCTTATTTTTGAGAACAATCTGGTTTAATTTATTTCGTTATTCAAACTGATCCAGAGAATTCATAACTATGCATTTAAATATGTTGCATTTCATTGATATTACTACTGTGTGTTGATTTTTTCCTTGCTTCATTTCATAGCGAAAACTAAGTTATGGAGATCTGTGTTTTTAAATAAATATGCAATTTGATTATAGATCACTTCTATTCTTTCTTAACATGTAAATACAAAAAAAAAATCCCTTAAAATATCTGTTATAAAAACAAATTAAAGATCTCAGTTCAGCTTTAGAATGTTTTATTTTATTGTTTTGATAGGTTAATCAAAACATATATTTTTTCATTGAAAGATGATTTATTATATAAGCCTCATAAAATTTATTATTATTATTATTTTTTATTATTTTAATTTCTATACCGCCCTTCTCCCGCAGGACTCAGGGCGGTGCACAGCATATTAAAACAGATATACATATCAATAAAAATAAAAACCCCTCTAAAACCAAATTAAAACCAAATATTCGAAGCTGTGTTCCAATTAAAATTATACTTAAAATCGTCCCTAAATAAAATCCTCCTTAGGTCAGGCCCG